GGCTTTTTTCGTGTTCGCCAAAGTGGGCAAAGGGCGGCTTTCGAGTTATGTTGAAAGATTTTGAAATATAAAAGGCTTTATCTGTAGTAGTTTGGTTCGTTATTATATAAAACAAATAGATTGCATGTTGCCGTGCGTCTGTTCAGTAATAGATCACAGAAGACGTCAAAATGTGGTAAGAACATCAGTGACACACTCGGCTATAGCCTAATGTGCCACTTTTTTGTTCTTACCACATTTTGACATCATCTGTGATCTATTACTGAACAGACGCACGGCAACATGCAATCTATTTGTGAAATAGATCACAGCTGACGTCAAAATGTGATAACATCAGTGACACACTCACCTAACGACTCGAGTGTAGCTTTGTTCTTCTTGCCACATTTTGATGTCATCTGTGATCTATTACTGAACAGACGCACGGCAACACGACATGGACTAATAATAGCTGCTATTTACGGTTATCACAATTTTCTCGCTATTAAAAATCAAAAGGGAAACTTTCTGACAAGCCTCCCTGTGATTGGATTATTAGAAGAAAGTTTTTCTGTCATTGGTCAATGATTAAATCCTTGCTTTGTTTTGAGGCACGTAGTTATGCTCAAACACCAAGGTCGAATTATTTTCATGTACTGGTTAATCATTGTTATAATACAGATAGAACCCTGTGCGCGCTCTGATTGGTCAAAAACCCATGTTTTATCAGAGTATAAAACATAGAAAATTAAAGCGTGTTTTATTATTTTTCGCCACCTTATCTCTATATCATAAAGCAAATGAAGAAGCCTAAGCCCGTGTATTACACTGAGATAAAACACTCCGGACATTTGAGAATACTCGAGAAATGTAGAAAACATTCGCCTCCGTCTCGTGTTGTCCACATTTCCCTCGTGTTCTCAAATGTCCGTCGTGTTTTATCACAGTGTAATACACGGCTTAGGCTTCTTTATTTATTAAATAAAACTATGACGGAAGGAGATCATCCTCTTCGACTGCAATTACTTTTTCCAAGGATAAACGCAGACAGGAGCCCATCACCTGGAGCCTTCATCTCCCATACAAACCCTATGAGGCAACCTTTGCGCGTATCTTTTCATTTTTAGAAACCCGCGGGGTTTTTTTATTCGCGCGCTCTATTCGAACGGCCAATCAGAACAAAGTTATCGTCTTACGTCACGCGCTAGTTTCGACAAAAACTATCACAGGAATGACAGAAAGCGTGGATAATTCACCCAGTGAAGGCAGTGAAAGCTCAGAATATGACGAGATCTCTTCATCAGAATTGAGCACATCTTGTGAAAGTATCAGTGTAAAATATGGTTGACCACCCTACACGACTTCTACGCTTCGTCACATTTGTACATTTGTCGTCCTCTGTTCGGTCACTCGACCTTTTTTATCGCTTCACCCATCTTTATGAAATTTTCTCACAGCTGAGACAAGAATTAAGCAAAACTAAGAGCTCAGCCAGTTGTTTTTGGCGGCGAAAGGCTTTTCCATGTCTACAATCCCAAATGCGACAGTCATTCATAAGTGTTTATTTTGTTTATTGTACTATAAATTAAACTCGTGGATGTTTACAAGGATTCCGTCATTGACACTGTGAACCACATACATACCACCGAAAATTTCTAAATAGCGAGTTTACACAAAGATGCAAAACCTCTCTCTGTTTTACGGATCGCTTTGATCTGGAATATCTTTATTGTTCCGTCTATAAATCGTATCAATTATACATTGCTTATTTACATTATTTACACACAAATGTTCTTGTGGCCCGGATAAACAAAATTATAAGTTCTTACTAAATATCCTTTTTAATTAACCGTTTGATCCCACTATTTTTAAGTTACTTCGGACATGTAATATAGTGAATTGATCAAATTACCTGGAAATTCTTGAGTTAACTACTTTCATTTCGCTGACATTGTTCTTCCACATAATTGACATTAATAATTTATTCCATACATACATTTTTGACAAACGGCTTGATTTGCGAAACTGTTTTCAGAGTGCTCAATTGCACGTACGTTCTTGAGTTATAGACAGTACATAAAAGACATGAACGTTTCTGGGCGTTTTCATGTGATAACAAGGTTTCGCCTTTTATCAGAGCAAAATTCTCAAAAACTATATTTTTTAAAAAACTATGATATCAAAGAAATACGCGAATACCGTAATCTTAGATTCAAAAGGATATCTATGAAAATTAAATGGACAAAGGGATATCGCAAAAAAAAAAAAGAAATTCATCCCTAGTGTATGAATGCAAAACAAAAGATTATGCACGATTTTCGATTTTCCTATTTAAATTCTCGTTCTGGGCGGTGCCAGTCCTTTTCCAGTCAACAAAACTAGGGCCAGCAACGTGGATTTCGGGATCATTTTCTTGCTTGTTTTTATAGTGGGCAGGAATTTTTTCCTCACCATGTTGTTCTACTTTCTCATTGGATGTGCTGTTGAGTGCACTTAA